TTCCTAATACAAGATTTCAAGGTTTCTAAATTCGTTTTTATTGATATTCTGTGTGTACAAGGAGCCGTAACTCGTAAGAGAATCCATACTGTTAGCCTTTTACCTTTTCAGGTACGGCATAAATATATTTGAGGCTTAATCCAATTTCTTTAATGGAGTTTACCAGAAGTTAGTGTCATGACAATCCCATCTGTATTTTCCTAACGAGTTAGGATGCAAAACCAGATTCTCAAAGATAGTTTTTTTGCTGGAAAAAGTAAATGGACAGAAAAAAAATCTAATGAATGAAATAAAAGGCATTTTTAGATTTGAAAATGTTTTTATACTCTCAAAAGAAACCATTTTCTATTATGGCGTTCTAACTAGGCTTTTATTTGTTGCTTTTCAACACAGTATTATCTGTTGGGATGCAGTTTCATGTCTTAGATAACATGACTTTCAGTCTGAACTTCTTCGAGTTAAGGGCCAATCTATCTTCCTTATCTCCATAATCTTTACTTCCTACCATCACTATGTCACACACCTTATTCAATAACCATCTGCCATAAGCGACTCAAGAGACCTGTATTGGGTGAATTCTATTAAATATCATTGCGAAGACGTTGTTTTTCAACCAGTCCCCTCAAACAACGTCACTTAGACTCAAGGGGCTCCTTGGATGTGAAATAGAAGGAAAATACTTTTAAAGGAACCGGAAAACAATAATAGTAACAAAAAGAAATCTGAGTTTAGGCGGAGACATTAGAAGAATAAAGTTAAAGTATAATTTAGACGAAACCAGAATCTTAGTTCTAAACAGGAAACAAGGAATAAATCTATTTTCCTGTTCAAAAGACCGAACTGGAGTGTAAACCTATCTATTCTTATTGTAGAAAAAAACATAAATAAATAAATAAATCGTAAAAATTTCAGATTTGAGTTGGTGACATTAAAAGTATAGATTTAAAGCAAAATTTAGAAGTAACCGGATACCCAGTCCTAAAAGGAATCAAAGAATAAAACTCCTTTCAAGACTGGGAAAACAAAAATATCTTTTGTAATCTGTTAGGGCTACTACACCCACAGGTGTTGTTACACAGAGAAAAAAATCTAGGACTTAACTTCCGATTCCAATGTACACATAATTATGGTGTCTCGTTAATAAAGACGTGTGGATCTTGATCCGTGTTAATCTTCGTTTATCATGACTGAAACTAAACTGTTTTTATTTTTCTATTTCGACTAAGATTTATAATATCCAAATATTTTATTAGATTCTCGCAAAGCATCAGGGAAGGAGTCACTTCATCTATAAAAGAAGATCCATCAACCTATTTTAGGCATTGTTTCTTTGAAGATTAGCAACAGATATGTTCTATCTGTATTTCTGAGATGAAGTATGGTAATTATTTACATTGTTCAGACTGTTGTCCTTAACTTTGTTGCCATATTCACCTTCACATCTGTCTCTATTTCTGAGATGAGGTATTGTAATTATTTACACTATTTACATTGTTCAGACTGTTGTCCTTAAATTTTTGTTGCCATATTCATTTAACATCTGTCTCTATTTCTGAGATGAGGTATTGTAATTATCTGTTTTACATTGTTCAGACTGTTGTCCTTACCTTTGTTGCCATATTCACCTTTAACATCTGTCTCTATTTCTGAGATGAGGTATTGTAATTATTTATACTATTTACATTGTTCGGACTAAATCCTCATCTTTATTGCCATATTCACCTTCAACATCTGTCTCTATTTCTCAGATGAGGTATTATAATTATTTACACTATTTACATTGTTAGGACTGTTGTCCTCATCTTTATTGCCATATTCACCTTCAACATCTGTTTCTATTTCTGAGATGAGGTATTCAATTATTTATACTATTTACATTGTTCGGACTGTTGTCCTCATCTTTATTGTCATATTCACTTTCAACATCTGTCTCAATTTCTGAGATGAGGTATTGTAATTATTTACACTATTTACATTATTCGGACTGTTGTCCTCATCTTTATTGCCATATTCACCTTCAACATCTGTCTCTATTTCTGAGATGAGGTATTGTAATTATTTACACTATTTACATTGTTCGGACTGTTGTCCTCATCTTTATTGCCATTTTCACCTTCAACATCTGTCTCTATTTCTGAGATGAGGTATTGTAATTATTTACACTATTTACATTGTTCGGACTGTTGTCCTCATCTTTTATTGCCATATTCACCTTTCAACATCTGTCTCTATTTCTGAGATGAGGTATTGTAATTATTTACACACATTGTTCTGACTGTTGTCCTCATCTTTATTGCCATATTCACCTTTTAACATCTGTCTCTATTTCTGAGATGAAGTATTGTAACTATTTACACTATTTACATTGTTCGGACTGTTGTCCTCATCTTTATTGCCATATTCACCTTCAACATCTGTCTCTATTTCTGAGATGAAGTATTGTAACTATTTACGCTATTTACATTGTTCGGACTGTTGTCCTCATCTTTATTGCCATATTCACCTTCAACATCTGTCTCTATTTCTGAGATAAGGTATTGTAAATATTTACACTATTTACATTGTTCAGACTGTTGTCCTCATCTTTATTGCCATATTCACCATCAACATCTGTCTCTATTTCTGAGATGAGGTATTGTAATTATTTACACTATTTACATTGTTCGGACTGTTGTCCTCATCTTTGTTGCCATATTCACCTTCAACATCTGTCTCTATTTCTGAGATGAGGTATTGTAATTATTTATTTCTTTTTTGTTCGGACACCATATTCATTTCAACATTGTTCTATTTCTGAGATGAGGTATTGTAATTATTTACACTATTTACATTGTTCGGACTGTTGTCCTCATCTTTGTTGCCATATTCATCTTCAACATCTGTCTCTATTTCTCATTTACATTGTTCGGACTGTTGACCTCACCTTTGGTATTGTAACTATTTAATTATTTTTACACTATTTACATTGTTCGGACTGTTGTCCTCATCTTTTTATTGCCATATTCACCTTCAACATCTGTCTCTATTTCTGAGATGAGGTATTGTAATTATTTTTACACTATTTACATTGTTCGGACTGTTGTCCTCACCTTTTCTTTCATTCAACATATTCACCTTCAAATCTGTCTCTTTTACTTTTCTCAGATGAGGTATTTTACCTTCAACATCTGTAAATTTACACTATTTACATTGTTCGGACTGTTGTCTTCATCTTTGTTGCCATATTCACCTTCAACATCTGTCTCTATTTCTGAGATGAGGTATTGCAATTATTTACACTATTTACATTGTTCGAACTGTTGTCCTTATCTTTGTTGCCATATTCACCTTCAATATCTGTCTCTATTTCTCAGATGAGCTATTGTAATTATTTACACTATTTACATTGTTCAGACTGTTGTCTTCATCTTTGTTGCCATATTCACTTTCAACATCTCTCTCTATTTCTCAGATGAGGTATTGATGACACTATTTACATTGTAAAGACTGTTGTCTTCATCTTTGTTGCCATATTCAACTATTTCTGAGATGAGGTATTTATTTACATTGTAATTTTCGGACTGTTGTCCTCATCTTTTAATTTTTTACACTATTTAAAAATTGCCATATTCATTCAACAACATCTGTCTCTATTTCTGAGATGAGGTATTGTAATTATTTACACTATTTACATTGTTCGGACTGTTGTCCTCATCTTTGTATATTCACCTTCAACATCTGTCTCTATTTCTCAGATGAGGTATTGTAATTATTTACACTATTTACATTGTTTGGACTGTTGTCCTCATCTTTATTGCCATATTCACCTTCAACATCTGTCTCTATTTCTGAGATGAGGTATTGTAATTATTTACACTATTTACATTGTTTGACTGTTGTCCTCATCTTTGTTGCCATATTCACCTTCAACATCTGTCTCTATTTCTCAGATGAGGTATTGTAACTATTTTTTATTTTACATTTACATTGTTTGACTGTTGTCCTCATCTTTGTTGCCATATTCACCTTCAACATCTGTCTCTATTTCTCAGATTGAATATTATTTACATTTTACACTATTTACATTGTTCAACATCTGTCTCTATGTTGTTTCACTCATCTTTAGATCAATATTCTTCTTCAGTTCATCTCTGTCTCTATTTCTCAGATGAGGTATTGTAACTATTTACACTATTTTACATTGTTCGACTGTTGTCCTTCATCTTTATCTGTCTTATTTCATATTCACCTTCAACATCTGTCTCTATTTCTGAGATGAGGTATTGTAATTATTTACACTATTTACATTGTTCGGACTGTTGTCCTCATCTTTGTTGCCATATTCACCTTCAACATCTGTCTCTATTTCTGAGATGAGGTATTGTTTTTAATTATTTACATTGTTATTTACATTGTTTCGGACTGTTGTCCTCATCATTTGTGCCATATTCACCTTCAACATCTGTCTCTATTTCTGAGATGAGGTATTGTAATTATTTACACTATTTACATTGTTCAGACTGTTGTCCTCATCTTTATTGCCATATTCACCTTCAACATCTGTCTCTATTTCTGAGATGAGGTATTGTAATTATTTACACTATTTACATTGTTCGGACTGTTGTCCTCATCTTTATTGCCATATTCACCTTACAAAAGAACATCTGTCTCTATTTCTTTCAACATCTGATTTCTTGATGAGGTATTTAATTATTTACACTATTTACATTGTTCGGACTGTTGTCCTCATCTTTGTTGCCATATTCACCTTCAACATCTGTCTCTATTTCTCAGATGAGCTATTGTAATTATTTACACTATTTACATTGTTCGGACTGTTGTCTTCATCTTTGTTGCCATATTCACCTTCAACATCTGTCTCTATTTCTGAGATGAGGTATTGTAATTATTTACACTATTTACATTGTTTGGACTGTTGTCCTCATCTTTTTTGCCATATTCACCTTCAACATCTGTCTCTATTTCTCAGATGAGGTATTGTAATTATTTACACTATTTAC